AAAAAATCTAACCCTTATACTTGCATAACAATAGCAGTCTATTTATTTAGTGGTCCAAGTTGAAGTCAGTATGTATATTAATGACATATTGGACAAATATAATGTAATTGAGTTGCGGCCGGAGTTGCGCGCTGCCGGTACATGTATAGTCAGACAAAACAATGTGCACAGTTATCAAAGACGCGAGTGCGCGTACAGTCGTGGAAAACGATGTGTTCGGCAGTTAAAGACACGACGCGTCTGTGGCGTGTGCGTCATGGGTATCAATGTGCTCAGTAATTAAAGAGGCAGGGCGGCGTTTCTGTTATTTGGTTTGTGACATCCTTTACGGGAAACGCCGGCGCAAGGCTGCTCACAGCGTTTGGTCACGCGTCGCACCAGAACCGTTTTCGGAACCAAAACTTAGAAATTGCTTACGGTTCTTTAAAAAAAATAGGGTCTCGGTTCCCAACCCTAATTAGGAAAGTTGACGAGTCCTTAAAGTCTTGAATTTAGTTGTATCAAATGTAAGGCCATAAAAAGACTTAAATGGTACAAGAAAGTCTTATGATTTCGAGAGGTCTTAAATTTGGGGATGGAAAGACGAGAATTGCGACGTGGGTTAATGTGACGATTAAACTTCAAAAGGCTGTGATTTATTTGAATAAATATGAGCTGCAGTTTCAGGCCCCGTTAAAAAAACGGCATTTTAAAATGAAAACGATCCTCGTCTACACTGGCGTTTTCACGGCGTTTCAGAAACTATCTCCGTCCACACAACACAGCTAGGGTTGGGTACCGTTCACATTTTAACCGGTACGGTACCGGTATCGGTACCTGAATTTCGGTGCCGGTACCCAACGGTTTCTTTTTTCGGTGCTTTACTCTGTGTGTAATTACAAAAACATTTATTTCAGTGAAAAAATAAGTCCAAAAGTCTCAATTTCAACATTTTGAACAATAGGGCACTATAAACGTTTTCCAAATGGCCAAAACCATCAATTCATGTTTTTAGGTATATAATTGTCCGGCTGGTGAGGAGGGTTCATTACTGGACCTCAAAGCAATTGTAGTTGAAGACCCCTGGGTTAGACCAGTAGCTCTTCACTGCAGTCATCAGGCCGGTTTTTGTTCGTATGTGAACCGTTCTAGACTCCAGATTACTCGTGTAGACCTGTTCGATTCCTCTCCATGCCGTTCCTCGGCTCACAGGGAATGCTGGGATGTCCTGATTTCTCATGAATCTGCTGACGCAGCGTTTCTCAGCATCACAGTCTCTCTCAGGTGTTCGAGCGTCTCGTGCATCTCTTTGTTCCAGATGTTTTGAGGTCAGACAAACACGCCGGTTCTCCAGATCTCTCCTCTGAAGATATTTTAGCATCTTAATCGAGGCTGTCTTCTGAAGTGTCATTGTAAGTGTTTGTATTGACGTCTATTAAGGGATTCAGCAGGTGCTTGGTGTGATTCTTTCATACAGGACAGTGTTTCAGCTCTAAAGTCTCTCAGTCGATCTCATTTACTGCCTGTCAGCAGCTTCCACACATGGAAACTAAATCAGAGTAACCTGCCTTACTTGTTTACCTGTTTATATTTATTTAGTCGCAATGTGATTTGAAAGATTAGATTATATCAGATTAGAAGTAACATCAGACTATCAGATGTTCACGCGGATCATCAGGCCGCTAGTGTAGGGCGTGGGTTCGAGTCTCTGCTGTACGTCTGGAGCTTTGAGTCGGATCAGTAACAAACAACATGAAACACACTAGTTAACACATGACCAGCCCGGGTGACTGGTTCAGCAATCTGTGGTTCATCTCATAAGTGTGCTGTTAATATAATTCACTTCCCTTTTTAGGAAAGAAAGCAGAATAAAGTGAAAGTGTTGAGTTCAATAGTTGTCTAAATTAATTAATAGATTGTCTAGATTAGATTATTTTTCAGCTTGTTGATGTTTACACAAACTCAAAGACTCATCTCCTGAGCCACTGCACAAAGGAACAAAATGTAACCAACACAATAAATCAGAGAAAATAGTTTTAATAAAGCTCAAATAGTCTTCAGTTTACACATCTGTTATTTAAAACGCATAGCTCAGACAGAATCATGACTTCTATTTATTTTCCACTGATTTGCTGATGAGCATTAGCAGCTTCCAGCGCTGTCTGCTTGTGTTCTCTCTTCCGTGATCGCTGCTCTGACTCAGAGGTAATAACATATTTAATTTCAGCTACATTACATGGCCAAAACACACATTAGACGGCAATCTGAAGTTATTACAAACACTCGATGGTGGTTTAAAGTGAGTTTTGAGTAAAATCTTATTTATTGTCTTAAGTAGCATGATGCTACAGTTTGCATGAATGGTCACACAAGGGTGAACAGACCTGAGAAAAAAAGTGTGTGCGTGTGCGTGTGTTTTATAGGCTTGTGTCTCTGTTCTTTCATTTGCAGGCGTGTGGTTATGGTTTCCTCAGAATAACCCTGTGTGTGTGTGAGATATATATATATATATGTATATTAGGCCTCTATGATTTCCGCCATGTGGAAAATGTGGATGGAATCGTGGAATCCAGGCATAGAAATGGGATTTACTGTGCGTGTGTTTTATAGGCGTGTGTCTCTGTTCTTTCATTTGCAGGCGTGTGGTTGTGTGTTCCTCAGATTAACCCAATAACCCTGTGTGTGTGTGAGATATATATATATATATGTATATTAGGCCTCTATGATTTCCGCCATGTGGAAAATGTGGATGGAATCGTGGAATCCAGGCATAGAAATGGGATTTACAGCATAACACAGAATGTATCTGGAATCTGGCAAAACTGATATGGCAATAAAATATGGCGAAATGGATTAGTGTCTATAAATATTAAAGCACAAAAAGACTGACATATAAAATGTGAAGTATGAAGTGTGAATGAGCGCCGCAGGTTTGCTCTACTGAAACTGAAACACGCGTGACGCTCGTCTGTGTCACTCAATATGAACACATGAACTTCATCTTTAGAGCTGCTCTGAGAGTCACTTCACTGTTTCATTTGAGAAAACTATCATCAAATAGACACAGAAACTCAAAGATCTTCACTACAACCTGTCTAAATAAAAGTTCAGTTTAACCTGAAGAAATTATGACACAAACATATTACTCTTGTACAGTAAATGCATTTATAATGTTACAAAAGATTTCTATTTCAAATAAATTCTGTTCTTCTGAACTTTCTGTTCATCTGTGAATCCTGAAAAATAAAATGAATCACATTTTCCACAAAAATATCGTGCAGCACAACTGTTTCAACATTGATAATAATCAGAAATGTTTCTCGAGCAGCAGATCAGCATATTATACTGATTTCTGAAGATCATGTGACACTGAAGACTGGAGGAATGATGCTGAAAATACAGAAATATCACAGAAATAAATTATATTTTAACAGATATTCACACAGAAAACAACTGTTTTAAATTATAATAATATTTCAAATTTTTATTGTATTTTTGATCAAATAAATTCAGCCTCGATGAGCAGAAGAGACTCTTTCAAAAACATGAAAATATCTTACCGACAGTAGTGTACTAGTACTACTAGACTAGAATAACTCATGTAAAGGCGATTTGTAACAATGTTGAGTGCTGAAACCTGCGCAGGCCTGATTTTATTCTGTATGGTGGTTAAACTGCTGCTGACGGTGTGTGTGTGTGTGTTTCAGGGGTCCGTTCAGTGTGGTGCGAAGATGCATCAACAGAGACACTGGACAGCAGTTCGCTGTGAAGATTGTAGATGTGGCCAGTTTCACCTCCAGCCCTGGACTCAGTACAGAGGGTAAGAACACGCACACACTCACGCGCGCGCACACACACACACACACACACACACACGCACACACTCACACGCGTGCACACACAAGCACACTCTCACACACGCGCGCACACACACTCACAAGCACTCACGTGCGCACACACACACACACTCTCAAAATGGGGACATGGGGTAATGTCCTCATAAGTCACCTTCTCTTTGTAATACCTGTCATACCCATGTCATTATACACATTTATGTCCTCATATGTCACAAAAACACTCACACACTGTACACCACTCTAATTGGCATATTGTGGGTAACTCTGGAGGCTGATAGATCGGGGTTCAGCAGGGCGTGACTGATGGCCGTCTGGTTTCGGTGGGAATCTGTGGAGCGTCTGTGGATTCTTACAGACTCCATGCGGCCTGGTCATGGATACCAGCATCATGCCAAAAGGATTGTGGGTGATGTGTGTGTTCAGAGGGTTTGTTTGTGTGTTGTGTTGCTGCCCACTGGGCTGCCGGAGCTCCGAGCTTTGGCTTCATCCGTGAGCCATCTGTGAGCAAACAGACAGAACACATCAGACGAGGACGAGTGTTTTACCACTGAGAATATTTGTAAAAATACAAACAATCGGGCACTTCCTGCGGCTGAATCCCTCAGTCACTGAACGTGATGATAAACGTCTCCATAACAACCCTCTACAACACCAGTAAATCACTCACATATGCGACTAAATTATGTCTAACATTCGCCACTGGCTAATAAATTCTCAGATTTTACTGGCCAGTGTGTGAGTAGGAGGTAAAGTATAAGTTTAGCACAGATGTATTTTCACTCTGACTGAGCGCTTCAGAGTTTCTCTCTCCGTCCAGAGATCTGTGCTGTTTTTCAGTTCAGCTCAATGGATGTGCAGCGCACCTGTATTTGACGCACCGTAAACTCTAGAGAAAGAGAGCGAGAGTCTTACACAACACGCTGAATCAATGCGCTGCATGGAAACCATGTTCTTTGTTGTCAAAATAATGGAGTTCATTTGGAAATCTTAAGCTTTTAAGAACAAGCAAAAGATACTGCCTGTTTCTCTGATAGTGGGCGGAGCTAATGCGCAAACGGCAACCTCATTGGCTGGTGCTCATCTATTACCGTCCCTGTTTTGATTCAGCAAATCAGTTCAAGCGAACGCTGACAACGTGATTAATATTCATGAACCCAGCAGCTCATTAATCCTGAGTGCGTTTTATATTGTTATTAGTAGTAGAATTCGTAGTAGTATTATTGTTAGGTTTTTTTTTTTTTGACTTATACTGTCGTTTTACGCGTTGCGTTGCATTGCGCCGCATAAACATAAAACTCTGTCTGCATTTGTGATCGGAGAAATGACAAACAACAAGCACTACTCTACACTGCTCAAAACTCACGCTTGAATCGTCAGCGGCAAACTCTTTAAATGAAAACGTACTTACGTGAGTCAGAACAGCCGGCTTGCAGTCTACTCTCCCAGGATCAGGAAACAGTCCTCCATAAAATGTGCTGCACACATCTGAATATTTGGGTTGAAGTGTTCTGGAACAGTGTTGTAAATACAACTTAACCACTGATTTGTTGTCGTGTCCTCTT